TGTATTTATGCTTATTATTTTCATGCATTAATTTAGAGCATTATTTACATTTTTATATAAATATAAGGATTTCTAGAATATCAAAGATAAAGAAATGAAACAACTTATAATATGTTTAACTTAAAGAAAATGGAAATGTAACGCCCTAAATCCCACATCGATGGAAACTTATGAATAAACCTGATATATAATTGCGGAAATCAAATACTGCTAATAACTTTATTTTGAGATTTTTAGGGCTTGTGAACTTTGGTCTAAAGAGTTTTTATATTGACACATAATAATAAAAAAGTATATTAAGGAAGACATGTAAAAATGACAAGTAACAAGACTTTCATAATTGGTTTCTCTTTTAATATATATATACATATATATATTTGTTATATCATAATTTTAAAGTAGATCTTTAATTTGAGATCTCAGCTTATATCTCTTAACATACTTAATAATTTAATTTTCAATTGCTCATTAGCAAAAGCCAATGGAGTTTGGTCCCCATTTTTCTATTTTGATTCCCTATTATCGGTTTGGTTTCAGAAAACTCTAAATTGATTTGAATTTTTTTTCCATTTTAGCATTATTGTTTCCTCATCTCTTGGGCGTTGCCTGATAATATTTACAATGTGAACTTGAGTAAGTTGGGCCCAGCTCTAAGCTTTTTTATTTTTGTGTTGGATTTAATCCTATAATATATTTTAATTTCTTATTTTAGCCTTGATATTTTTTTTTGGTAGATGGATAGGATGTCGTTATTAACTGAATTTATATAATTTTTATTTTTTGTGCAAAAGAATTATTTGACTGCATAATAAAAAAAGCTTTTAGACTTAATTGAATATTCGTTAAAAGTTGACAAACTGTATTGGAGAAGAAAAATCGCTTTCAAGGATCTAAGTGAATGAATATGAAGTTATAGGACTAAATTGCTATTCTATTGAAACTGGACGACCAGATTACCATTTTATCATTAAAAAAATTGCAAAAAGATCCAAAAAAACCGACACGAGTTTGGTGTCGATGCTACCTGTTAGGGGTGGACACTTTGTGTTAAGCCTTCAGAAAATACATAGGTGTGGCCGTGTGGGTTGAAATAAACAGGAGTACCGTTGTAGTGTCGACATACCACGCACCTTTACTTTGAAAATTTTTTTTTTCTGTTACATGTCTAACTTCTCCTAATGAGATTTTCTTAAATTTTATAAAATATTCAGTCAAAATCAGAGTTGAGAGATTTTGTAAATCAAGAATGAGACAACAGTGAGAGATAAAACATAAAAAAATTAATATTTAAGATTTTATATTATTAAATTAATTTTATTTGTATTTAAATTTTATTTTATG